CCTGTCGCCCGCACTTTTGTCAACCGGCCAAAGCATTTTACGTAAGTTCGACATGAATTTTTGTCATTTTTGTCGCAAATATTTTATCTTTTGTGCAAAATATATGAAGTTTTCATTCAAAATATTCTGATCTTCAAGGAATCCAGAAATGTCAATTATATTATCCTAACTTTAGTCTGAGTTATTATTTATTACTAAAAATGTAATATACTGTTTTCTCCCAAACATTTCTGGTAGGGAGGGAAGGTGAGTGAGGGTAGGGGAGGAGGGACCAACCCAGCTAGGGCGAGGTGGGTATTTGATTGACAGATAGTGTCTGAAGAATATTTTTGTTTATTTACTGAAGATATTTGTTTTAGCTCATAAATTCATACAAATTACCCGGCCAGAATATAATTTACATTCTGGAATTCTTATAATATGATGATCATTTTGAATATAAACATCATGGATTTTGCATTAGACATACAAATTTTAGATCTGTAATAATTTGGTTTACACAAGCAAATATTTTATCTTTTGTGCAAAATATATGAAGTTTACATTCAAAATATTCCCTGACCTGAAGGAATCCAGAAATGTCAATTATATAATCCTAACTTCAGTCTGAGGTATTATTTATTACTATACGTTAAAATCTAGTGATTTCACCCAAACATTTCTCAGAGAGGTAGGGCCAGTGAGCTGGGAAGAGGGGGGATGAGTCCAGTATTTGAATGGACATTAACCTGGCGACTGTATTTTCTTAAATACTGTGTGTGCATACCATCATAAAATTAAGATGTTATTTTACTACAACATAGGTATTGTGTCGAAAAGTGGAGTTTGGGTGGGCCAGTCTCTATTGAATTAATCCCATATGTTCTGTTGTTCACTCTCTCCTGTACCCGTGTTCAAAATGACCGTAAATCAGGGTACTACCGGACTTAAATATGTTCTTATGTTTACTTATTTTATGTTGACGCAAGCATGACCTTCAGTATGATGCTGACCACTAGAGTACAGCCCTGGGAGTATAATTTAATCCCTGAGTATAACTTAATCCTTTCAATATGACGATTTAACCCTTTAAGTATGATGATTTAATCTCTTGAGTATGATGACTTTACATCTTGAGTATGATGATTTTACACCTCAATATGATGATTTTACCCTTTGAGTATGACAACTTAATCCCTGGGTATGATAACTTTACATCTTGAGTATGATGATTTAGTTGAATGGAATGATTTAAACCCTTGAGTATGATGACTTTATCCCTTTAATATGCTAACTTATTCTCTTGAGTATGATGAATTAACCCCCTTAAGTATGATGATTTAACTCCTTCAGTAAATAAATGTCTTAACTCAAGAGGCTAAGTCATTTTCCTCATGAAGTTAATTAATTTTAATTAAAAGCTTCAGACTACAGTACAGTACTATTTCATCCCCTGACCAAAACTAAATTTACCTACAGTGATTACAAACATATCTCTCACCCACCGTGTCCTGGGTTTGAGTCCTGACCTTGGACATATGTGAAGGGTAATCAGTGTGACACTACCAAACATGGCAGGTTTTCTCCAGATACCCGATTCCAGTGCTAACACGACAATGTCATAACAGAGCACAGTAGTACTAACAGCACAGACCAACTGCCTGAATGACTAGTAAAATGATATCTTCATTACCGAACAATTGCAGAACACTTCCGGGAATGAGAGATTTCCGGTAACAAGATGACTCTCAAAGCCGAAAATAAATTCCTCATCCCTGAATTTTACGAAGTAACGAAAAATATTCTTGAGATTTCGAAATTGTGCATTACATCATCCTCAAACAACTAAAATTTTTCCGAATTTTCGGTACCGAAAATTTAATTGAATTTTCAGAATATGTGCCCTCAAAATTTGCTTCAAAGCCAGAATTTTCTGAAATTCTGGCGGAACGATTTTCAAGAAAATTTAAATTCCAGCTATCGAGGAGCTCCGGGTTTGAGGATTCCGCCACGGAGATATTACTGCACTCTGATAAGTGGTGAAATTATAACTTAAATTACTTAAAATTAAACTCTAGGATACTTACTTATACAGTATTAAATATACATAATTAAACATAACATAAGCTAAACACTTAATTTTTATGATCTAATATCCAGGAAGGGAATACCATAAAATAACACATCTATCAAAACAGACAAGTCCTGTCGCTGAACCATGATTCAGACTGTGAACCTGCAGGTAGACACTGATACATTATTCTGTCCATAAATGCTTCGATTCAAGAGTCTGAATCCGGGTCTCATGGTTCGCTGACAGGACTTTTTGGGTGACTGTACTGTACTGTACTCAATTTGCATTTGTTACTTTTTCATTTCTTTTTGGCAAGAACAATTTGTTTTAGGAAGGTACTATACTATACTTACGATTTAAATTCAAGGCCAGTACCACTGAAGACCCTACTGTAGCGTGCAAGAAGGTTCTTGTTGGGTCTCCCAGCACCACATTCTCTTCAGGACGCTGAGCGGTGATTGTGACAGCAGTACAAGGGTCACTGCTGCTCTCTGTTGTCTGGTGATTCACATGAAGTTGATACTGTGAAGAAAGTGGAAGTCAAAACATCACAGTATTTGATAATTGATCGTCATTATTATTTTTATTTTTTTTATTTGTATTTTATTATTATTATTATTATTATTATTATTATTATTATTATTATTATATTATATATCTTTGCCCCCAGGCCCTGATGTGGGTCATTGACCTGTACGGGTGGGCTACTCCCCTAAAAAAAAAAAAAAAAAAAATCCAACACCTGACAAAGCACAGTCTTATCAATGCATCCCAGCACAGTTTAATGGAGAAAATCCTGCCTAACAAATACTCACTTTCCTTCAAAAGGTAACAGGGTATGTGGACCAAGGGCTACCAGTGGATGGGTTGTACTGTATATGGATTTTTCTAAGACTTTTGACAAGTCCCACATGCAAGAAGGGCCTCTAAGATCCAGGCACAAGGCAATATATTGAAATGAATGTACAGTTGGCTAAAAGGATGGAATTAAATGGGGTAAATTCAATTTAGAAAAAGGTTCTGTCCTTGGACCCACCCTATTTGTGAACTAAATTAATGATGTAGATGATAGTATATTACCACACTGTAAAGATTGTGGACAACACAAAGATATTTGGGAAGGCACCAGGTCAAGATGATGTCACATCCATGCAAAAAGATCTGCTGGAGCTGTGCAAATGGTTGTATGGCTAGCATAGGCTTTATATCATTATATAATGAAAGACTGCATGTAAGGTACAATAACCCTAATTGCAACTATTCTGTTAATAACACTTTCATGGACACTGTTAAGGAAAAAATCTAGGCATTGTGATAAACCAATCACTGAGGGCGGCACAACAAGTAGGGGCAGCGATGAAAAAAGCTAACCAAGATTTAAGAATTAAAAGTAGTACCTTCAAATATAAAGCTAAGAAAAGGCTCCTTCAACCTTATAAGTATCACGTAGGTAACCATCTGAATTACTGTATTTAGGCACAGAAGCTTTACCTCCAGAAAGACTTAACAATAATATAAATGGTGCAACACAGAGCGACTAAGATGATTCCTGAACTACGGTACATCATCCCGATTATCCACGTAGACTGAGTGCCTAAGGACTAACAACTCTTCAGACAAGACACAATATGGCAGATCTCATAGGGACATTCAAAATCATGAAAGGGATGGAAAATGTTAACCTGGGCCATTTTTTGTGATGTTATGCACCACCAACACGAGGGGACATTACTATAATTTCACCAAGTTGTCGTGCAGGACAAATACTATAAGGAAATACAATACTTCTTCACAGAGAGGCTGGTAGACCTACAGTATGGAACAGTCTACCAACTCAAGCTGTGGAATCGAGAAAACAGAACTGGGTTTCAAAATAGCCCAATACAAGATTATGAAGAATGATGGAGGGATCCTACAAAGGCCACTGGCCTTCTTCCCTCTGTATGGCCACCTGTAGTGGGTGGCCATTAGGTAAATAAGCTAAAAATAAGTTAAGATGAAGATAAGACCATGTTATTGACTGTACTAAAACTTAAAAGGCATCTATGAGCACCACAACTGCAAATTTGGAAGTACAATGAACATGGACAAAGATTCCAAAGAGATTGTGAATAAAATAAATAAAATTACAGCGTGCTATTTACAAAAAAATCTAAACTGTTTTCAGAGGCGCCATACACAGCATTCAAATAGGATTTGTTTTGTGAAGAGGCTTCTGTTGTTTTCTGAACAAACATGTAAATCATTACCTGTAAAACTATTTCAGTGTCATGATGCATCAGAGCCAGGCCAGTTAACCCTCTCGTAGCCTATCTATGCAGATTGCATTACTGAGCGCCCGTGCTGGCGTGAACCCTCCTGCTCAGCAGTCTCACACTGAGAGCACCCATCCTGTTAGCAGAAATGCAGAAACAGTGGACAAGCCCTATCAACCACTTAGCTCCTCTCACTAGCCTCATGGGCTGGCAGATGCATCTCTAAGGGTGCAAATTAGGTCTGGATCACTCTACCCAATGTTTACAAAAATGGAAAAATCATTCCTGTTACCGATGCAACCTGTGTTGAAAGACTGCAAGGGGTTGAGATTTCTAACCATGAGTACCAGAGGGTTTACCTTTCCACTGTCATCCTGTTTCTCAGGCAGCTCTAAATGTGCCTTAGTCCAGAGACAGCATTCAGCTTCAGAAGAACCTACTGGAGAGAGACAACCAATAGACAGTAGTTCATACAGATTTAGAAATACTTTACATCTGTCACAATATATGAGATTCAATGAAATTAGATGGCGACATTTCTTTTTTTGGTATTCAGAGTTTTCCGGCACCTTAACTCAAAAGGGAGAGAGATAAAGCAAAGTAAATTTTCCAAAATAGCAAATTATTTACAAACAATGCCAAGGATATTTTTACCTTATTTATTTGTTTTTTATAATTTTACCACTTATTAGATTACTAGCCATTTGGAATGATTTGGAAGAGGGCAGCACATGTCCTTGACTCTGTATTAAAGTGGGTTTCCATCTCATTTAAAAGGTGACCACGGTATGGAATGGCTAGATTTTTACTGTAGTTGCAATTTACTTGATGCCTACTGTACTTATACATGACTTTGATACCATTTCACCAACACTCTCAACAAGCTGGGAGGCCTTGGTCAACCTCATACTAAAGTTAAAGTAATCTTTCAGATCACTATTAATTTCCTTGATTTGTTCAATGGCCATGTTTATCATTTCGTACACCTCAAATTAATCTAAATTGTGAGGCTGAAGTTTGGCAGAAGCGTGTCAATTCAGACATGCCTGTTTGAATTGTACATGCTCAGCCAGAAATTATTAGATAGAAAGAAAGCCTTCATTGAAGATGTGATTGATCATTTTGGAGTTAATCAGCAAAGCCTGAAGCATTTATTTAACCATTGAAATTATGCTGCTAATGTTCTGAGCAAGTCACCATCGTGACAGACAGTCATCCCTAGATTTTTACAATCAATGATATAAATTTAATTATTTTCTTTAGTTTTTAATGCTTAAGGTCAACCCTATGATAATTTCAGTGATTAATAATTTGGTGATAACACTAATAAGAGATATTGCTGATTATACATTACTGGAAAGTAACTACAATACTTTATCATACTTTTATATGGATCTATGCAAGTGTATGTACCTGTTTTGAATAAACTGATACGTCAGGTCTTGTCTTGCTTTCTTGCACCGCCCCCCACCCGGAAAAATCCTACGGCCGCTAGTGGCAGCACCTGTCCTCTCTTGTATTGGTGAAGGAAGGCTACGGAAGCTTGATATCCTGCAAAACGAAGCATTGAGAATAATTTAAGGAAGTCAAAAGAATGCAATGATTGAGATAATAAATATGGAGCTAGGGTTACAGGACATTTCACACGGGGTCAATGATATTAATACAGTTGCAACAATTAGATTAATGAGAGAGAATAGTGAGGGTAAACTTTTACAAGATATAGATGTTGGCTTGAAAAATGAAAGGACCTTCTGGAGGCAAGGTACGAGAGGATACATGAAAGGATTAATTAACATAATTTTAAAATATAATCTGACAAACTAGTGTACAGTTGTTTGGAAAATTTGTAAGGATCCACCCTGGGAGTAATAATTTACATAAAATAAACACATTGCATGTATATTGTGATGGTTCAGCTGTGCCAAGTGGCAGGGCAGGGTGTGGGATCCTTATAAGGCAGTACACAGAACAAGGTACTGATGACACCAAAACTGGACTTCGGCTGATCAATTTAAATCATCATCACAAGCTGAGTTACAGGATATGCAGTGTTAGCAGCATGGGAAAATGTTGTAAAGAGGAGTAAAGATTTTTTTTTTTTTTTTTAGATAGTCCAGCAGCTGACTTGTGTGCAGGCCATTAAGAAACAACTTAAAGACTTTTTTTTTTTAAAGAACTTTCTATCCGGACCTTCTGGCATATCAAACAGAAAGTACTTATTTTATAATATCTGGTACTAATGAAAGCAACTTTCTTAAAGTGGCATTGGTGTAATTGTGCATTTTTTGTGGACCTGAGAGTATGCTCGGACTGAAGAGACTGCATTGACTGAGACCAAATGTGAAAAAGACTTGGGTGTGTATGTCAACAATGGACTTAAGTTCTCGGGCCATTGTGAAAAGAAGGTGAAACAGGCATATAAGAAGGTCATTTAGAGTGAGCTACTTCCCCATCTGGAGGTATGCTAGAGACTGTCAATTGATTGAAAATGTCCAAAGGAGGGACACCAGACTGGTGCCTGCTCTATGGAACCTCAGTTCCACAGAGAGATTAGAATGCCTGCAACAACCAAGCTTATACTACAGAGGGGCAAGGGGCAACCTACTCAGTCAAATGTACATGCCTGGAGCTGGCAAACATCCACCCCACAAGGGGTCACAGCTCAAGGTTGAAGAAGCCAGAAAACTGTGAGGGCGAGCTTTTTTGTAGTGAGAATTGTGGACTCTTGGAAGTATCTGTCACAGAGCGTTGTGGCGGCACCGAGTGTGAGCTCATTCAAGGCCAGACTTGACCATCACTGGAGCAGGTTCCGATATATTCAGGAGCCAATGCATGCCTAGTACTAGCCAACAGTACAGAACAGAGACGTGACCGACCGTCCAAGCAGCTAACGAGCCAATCAGTGGCGAAGAGGGTAACTGTAAAAGTAAAGTAAAGAGCAGGTCGTTTGTTGCCCTGAAAAAAAGAGCAGATGACAACATGCACCGAAAAAGCAGATTTTTCTGTGGCATATTTACAGCAAATAATTAATTTCTTCATGTACAAAGCATGTACAGACATCATTTTAGTGTTAAATGATCAGTTATCACTGTTTTATCCTGCAATTTCCCTCACCCTTCACGCCCTGCACACTACAGGTGATTTATTATTGTCGAGAAAAACTAAAAAAATATAAACAATTTACTTATACCTGTAATTCAAATAAAGAGGGTGCTCCTATAGCATGCAGGTTACAAGACATTTAGGCTTGGTTAAGTAGGGTTAGAATAGGTCATGTTGGGTTAGGCTAGGTTGGGTTGGATTAGGTTGGGTTGGGATGGGTTAGGTTATGTCGGGATGGATTAGGTTATGTCAGGTTGGGTTATAATAGGTCAGGTTAGGTTGGGTAAGATTAGACTAGAGATATCTTTGTAGATGGCACACTATAGTAACACCATAAAAAGTTCTTGCATGGCTTTATTACTCCTTCTGGTGTTACCCGCCTGCTGCAGTATTACCGTAAATTTAAAAAACAAAACACAGGTTTGAAAGTTAGGTTAGGTCAGGTTCTAATAGGTTCTGTGCATTCTCACTTCCATTTTCGTGTTAGGTATCATATAATATTATCTCCAGAAATTTTGGTTCGATTCCATAAGTTATTTCTGGTATAAACCTTCACTCAGCTCACTATTCATGGTAAAAAATCGCTTTATCCCAATTTTCCCAATTTGTAGAAGATATCTTTCTGGTATATTGGTGAGGTTAGGTTAGGGTAGTAGGTACATGGTAACAGGCTAGCCTATTTTGGCATGATAAATAAATTTTCTGGTGAATTTTGTATTTTTTAGTCGATTCTGAACTTGTATTCTTTCCAATTTTTATGAGTATATTAAAAGAAACGACAACTTTCTATTATAATTTTAAGTATTTTTAGGAAATTTTTATTTACTCTAACCCGCTTCGCAATTCTCCTCCCGGCACCAATTTTGTTGTTCATCTCGCTAAATCCATTTTCAAGTGACGTTTCCTAGTGATGGTAAACGCTTCCACATATTCCTCCTCGCCATTGCTGATGGTACATCAACCTCAATATTAAGATAAGTTGTTTAACACATAAATTAACACGATAATGCATAGAACCTTATAAAATCTGACCTAACAAACCCATAGGTTGGCTATGTTAGGTCAAGTTCTATTTGGTTCCATGCATTGTCATTTCCATTTTTGTGCTAAATATCATATTAGTGTGTAGAAAAAAATTCAACCAATTTGGACAATTCCTTCTTGTGGTCACCCTTTTCTACACCTTTACCAAAAACTAATCGTATTGATAATGGTAAAAAATCTGGGTACTGTAGTTATATAGGACTAACCGGAGAGCGAAATTGATTGAAAACAATTATAAAAACGCCGGATTTTCATTGTTATATTATCGTGGGCACTGTTGTAGTTTGTGGAAATTTGTTAAAAAAAAATTATTTTTAAAATAAACACTTCTTAACATTTGTGGGTATGAAGAACAGACCTAACCAACCAAGCCAAACCAAAACAAACCTACCTAACCTCCCCGGTATATTAAACAGAATAACGGTACAGTATTTTTGCGTTTACACATTCCACATTCCTACCACTAATCTATTATCATATTCTAATAAGACATCTAATTATAAGATCATTTTCATCTATTACATTACCGTCGCAAATGTATAATAACGGAGATATATCCAAAATTTTCTCTATTTCCTTCCGTTAATCTTCCGCCATTATCGCCTACCTCACCTCTCACACTGTCTCTCCTGCGTATCTTCTTCATAAATCATAACGTGCATAAATCATAACGTGATTTGTGGTTTAATTCGCGATATTTTTGGCCCAATCAAAATCGATTTTTATTTTGGGTCTCATATTTCGAAATTCAACTTCCTTTCCGACCATGGAAGTCTGCGATGGGTGTCACTTCAATTGTATGGAGCTGATTGAGAGTTTTGGGGAAAAAACGAAGAAACTAAAGCATTTTCTCGATCACATGGTGTTCTTCCAACCCCAGTAAAGTGTCTTTAGTGCAAGACAATGTAAATATCGCAAAGAACAACATATGTGGCGTTGTGTAGAATCTCAGACTCCAACGACGAACAAGAAACAGCCCAATAAGGTAAGAAAAAAGGTGATTCCATCATATGGTGAGTCACTTAGGTTAGGTTTGTTTTTCTAGTGTGTTTTGGTGTATTTTTTATTCGCTTAGCCATTAATTTTTTTCGAAAAACGTGCAACGAAAAAAAAAAACAGGCCAATTTCCGACGGAAATGAAGGTCATATTCGGTCTAAACATACTGTACACAAATACACTAGAAAAATATATTTTTGACTTTCTAACAAAGTGGGAGGTGGAAGTGCAAATTTACCGAAAAAACTTACTATAATACAGTGAAATTTGAGGCATTTTTTGGACGGGAGATAAGGCCACATCGGCGGTATGCAGCACTGACGGGTTAGTCCTCTATATTAACCAAAATCTGAAATACCTATTGGGATAAAAACGAATATTAGCCCAATTAATTTTTGTCAATTCACCAAATCGTTGACGGCAATTAATTATTTCTTACTACAAACACCAATATAAACTACACAAATACCAAGGCAGCATAATATATAAAATGGCGCAGTTTATTTTTGCAATTACCCTTTCATAAAACATCTTCACCTGAATTTCCATTTGATGACGGATTAAAACTCAAAAACTACTTGTTGGGTTGACAAACTACCATGGCGGTGGTTAACCAACTCTCTAACATCACATGTAACTTAATTATGAGAATAAAAATACCAACAATTTACTCACCACAGAGGACGGTAGCGACATAAGCTTGTGTTTAAATAACTTAATATAAAAATTACTAAAAATTTAATCACAACACAACAGCCAGTCGAAACACATCTTTCCCTCACGGCTCACTCGGGCAAATGGCTTGTTAGCGGCGTCACAACGGTGTGTTATACCCAAGATAGGAAACCGTCTACTGAGCTCCGATCTCGCCATCTGTTGGCAACGCGGCTAACTAAAAGCCCGGGGCGCGCGAGGGTAGCATAACCATGTTTCCGTGGTAACCAACGGAGTGAACTTGTGTTTCATGTTTTCACGTTGCTATATATCATTGATCATATAGAATTTACTGTGTGTATTGTATTTGTGCGTGTCAGTATGTTTGTGTACGTGTCAGTATCTATGTGTGTGTGTGTGTGCATGTGTACACCTTAAGAACGTCAAGGCAAAGACGTTCTTAAGGTGTACACACATACATACATACAATATCACACAGTAAATTCTATATGATCAATGATATATAGCAACGTGAAAACGTTAAACACAAGCGCAGGGTGATCTGTTAAAGGCACGCGGGTGATGGTGACGCCCATTCATGGTTAAATGTCATGGTCTTCATGTAAACCATGGGTCCGCAACCTTTTCATACTAGTAGGCCAATTCAGGTGGAAATGATCAGCGATCTGCCGCAGCTGTACTCAGAACACAAAAGTCAGCAACGCATTCCACAGGATTGATTGAGCAACCAGAATGCAGGAATATATTTTACTTGAAGAATAATTCTTACAAACTACACCGATATAAAGGCATTCACATTTTAAATAAAACAATACAAAAAACTGAGAAAAGTACTTAACTATATATTGTAGAGCAGAAACAACAAAAAAACCTTGTGATATTTTTAAAATAAAAATGTCTTTCAGCTGTTACTATAAGGTAGCATAAAGCTGACTTTTTGCAATGCAAAATAAGGGTTCACACTCCAAATACAGATACACAGAACAATACTAAAACTAATGAGAGGGTTGAGCCTGGATATGATTTGCAATTTCAGCAAAATTTGATTTAAATTTGGTAACAACAGCTTTCACAAGTTCTGTGATGTGAATGTTGGTGAGCTTTGAACGGAACTTGTTTTCACAAAGGTAAGCAAATACAGTTCTGATTGTATTTCAATAACAAAGAATTCTCTTTTCAAAGAGGGTTAAATTTGCGATATTCTTCTGCAATGTTTCGTTGCAGAGTTGCCAACTTAGCGACTTTGTAGCTAGATCTAGAGCTTTTTGTTTTTTTCTAGCGACATTTTAGAGCGATTTGCGACTTGTCGCAAATCTAGAGATATCCACAGAAATCTAGCGACTTTCTGGATACTTTTGGACTGTCCATGAAAACTCGGTTTTCCTAATTTCGAGCCATAATATATAGCAACGGGTTACAGGGACAATAAATAATAAGAAAAGTTTAATACATTTGAACGGGTCGTGGTACAGAAGGAGGGACACGTCTATTTCCTGATCACTTGATGTCAGCCCGTCCATGCATCTAACACCCTAAAATTGTGGTCAGAAGTGGCAAATTACAGAGATGCGACAGGTGAAAACCCTTACCATGATCTGGCTGAAATTGCACTCGCTGCCTTATCTCTTCCGCATTCAAACGCAGATGTAGAGCGCACATTTAGTAGTATGAACTTTGTGAAATCAAAATTGCGCAACAAAATGAAACTATCGACATTAAAGGCAATTCTTACAATAAAGTATGGGTTAAAAAGACAGAACACCTGTTGTGCAAGTTATGAACTTCCTAGTGATATTTTAAGAAAGATAGGGACTGTGGAGGCATACAGTTACAAGAGAACCTGAACCAAGCACTTCACATGCTTCCAGCTCTACAGTTGTTCACACTGCCGACGACTACGAAGAGGACTGGGATGCAATTACTATTGAATAATAGGTAAGTGTGCACATTAAGCTTTAAAAAAAATAATATTTTTATTTTTACATAATGCATTTTATTTATACTCCGTCCATTATAGTCGGCATTATGAAAATATTATTTGCATCAAATTATTGAAGGGGGGGAATAATAGCTAGCGACTTTCCATGGAAGATTTAGCGACATTTAGCTACTTTTAGGTACCAGCCTAGCGACATTTGAAAATCCGAGTTGGCAACCCTGTTTCGTTTCTTTGTTGTTGGAGGAGGCGGCATGTCAGGTCTGACACAGAATACCTACAGTATATTACAGAACCTCTCCCTGCCACTTGACTAGAGTCACTCATATTTCAAAAAGTATTAATTATAGCAATTAATTATAGACACAGTAATTGGCAAAAGCTAAATTTGTAGGTTATTAAAAATAAGGTAAACAAAATGCAATACAAAATTAGCCTAGCCTTGCCCAGCATTCTGCTGAACCAAGCAGACGAAACTTGTCAGCAAGCAACTTGTCCCTACACACAGCTGTGATGTATGCACAAATCCCCTCGTGTTTGTTATAAAAGTGTATATGACCATCGTAATTCCAGTGAAGTTATCGGAAATATCTACGGTAGTGGGCGTAGACATCAGTTGATGCAGTTTTGAGGTAACAACAGACGAGTTGCGATAACACACGCTCTATTCTTCTACATTACGAGTAAATAATTCATTGTTATATAAACTACCTTGTTCTACACATATCCACGATTAATTTATAATGTTATTATGTATAAAATTTACCAATAATTGGGGCTGTGCAAAGAAAACTAGGGAGCACTCAGCGTGGATCAAGCCTGGGATGATGTCACGGTTTGTAGTGGAGCGGCAGCTGTCAACGTCCACCAGCAAGTCGCACGAATCCCATGCTCGCGGTTAAAACCTCCGGCCGCATAGCCCGAATTTTGAACGTCTTTCAGCTGACCGCATGTATATCACTTCCCGGCCACGTACGGCCGGAAAAAGGAAGGTTGCGGATTCCCGACAGACTACGTTCAGACGACCCGCGTCTTGAACACTACCGCCATCTGTTGATCCTGCGGCCAACTGTATGCTGTAGCTAACGCGGTTTTCGCCTTGCGTTCCTGTCTTTCTTATTATATAATCTTTGTTTGGGTATAAGTATGGGACCCAAGCTTGTGCATAGTGGTCAATCACTGCTCAGGTATCCGTGTTCCTTAACAAAGACAATACTTGTTATTATTTGATACAGAAGATGAACTGTGATGAATAATCTTTAAACAATGTTTAACAGAAGGTCCGACCCTCAGATGATTTAAATCCTATGGGAAGACATTATGATGATGGACATGCTGCTAATGGTAAATGTATTTACTCACTTTTTTTGTTGATTAAGCAGATTAATTTAAAGGGAAGCGTGCTTGACTATTTGCTTATACGTACAGGTATTAGAATGTACAATTAAGGCCTGAAGGGCTTAAAACTCCCAGTAAAAATAGTCATCTTGACTAGATTTATTCCCAGCATACTTCAGCTATCAAAATTATGAACCTGAATTAACCCAATAATTGCGTGGGTGTACACCTGCTCATCTCCTTACAGCTGTTCTCTCTGGGCTGTAAGCTGTGGTCTGATAAACAATCAATAGAGACACGGCAGGGTATAGTAGGACACGGCGGGGTATAGTAGGACACGGCAGGGTATAACAAGACACGACAGGGTATAACAAGACACGACAGGGTATAACAAGACACGGCAGGGTATAACAAGACACGGCAGGGTATAACAAGACACGGCAGGGTATAACAAGACACGACAGGGTATAACAAGACACGACAGGGTATAACAAGACACGACAGGGTATAACAAGACACGACAGGGCTATAACAAAGACGGGCAGGGGCATAACAAGACACGGCAGACATAACAAGACACGACGAAATTATAACAAGGCACAGGGTATAACAAAGACACGACAAGGGGTATAACAAGACACGGCCGGGAGTATAACAAGACACGGCATAACAAACACGACAGGTATAACAAGACACGACAGGGTATAACAAAGACACGACAGGGTATAACAAGACACGACAGGGTATAATAAGACACGCCAGGGTATAACAAAGACACGGCAGGGTATAACAAAGACACGACAGACAGGGTATAACAAGACACGACAGGGTATAACAAGACACGACGAAGTTATAACAAAGACACGGCAGAATTATAACCATACGGCAGGGTATAACAAGACACGGCAATATAACAAGACACGGCAGGGTGTTATAACAAGACACGACAGGGAATATAACAAGACACGGCAGAGTATAACAAGACACGGCGAAATTATAACAAGACACGGCGGGGTATAACAGACACGACAGGGTATAACAAAGACACGGCAGGGGTATAACAAGACGGCAGGTATAACAGACACGGCAGGGTATAACAAGACACAGACAGGGTATAACAAGACACGGCAGGGTATAACAAGACACGTAACAAGACGGCAGGTATAACAAGACACGGCAGAAGGGTGGTATAACAAGACACGGCAGGGTATAACAAGACACGGCAGGGTATAACAAGACGCGGTAGCATGACGCGGTATGGGAACGCGCGAGAGTAAAATATTGAGAAGGACTTGACGGATTACGTAAGCATTAGCCACTACAGTTTATTTCACCTGGGGTTGGGCAGGGTGGAGTGGGGATGGGATGGGGTTGGGCAGGTTGGAGTGGGCGTGAGGTGGGGTTGGGCAGGGTGAGTGGAAGTTGGATGGGGTTGGGCAAGTTGGAGTGGGCGTGAGGTGGGGTTGGGCAGGGTAGAGTGGGGGTTGGATGGGGTTGGGCAGGGTGAAGTGGGGGTTGGATGGGGTTGGGCAGGTTGGGGTGGGGTGGGGCGGAGTGAGGTGGGGTGAGGTGGAGTGGGGTGCAGTGGGGCGGGGTGGAGCAGGGCGTGGTAGGGTACAGAGAGTAACGATAGTAGGTGTTATAAAAACTCCCCCTGTGGCACACCAGCCCAGGGAGAAAGTCATTCCAGCAACCTGCGGTCATCCATTCACTCACGACCACCTCAACCTTCCCTCTTCCTCTTCTTCGTCCGGGTTATTACTTCCACCACCACAACAATGTCCGTCATCACCACCACAACCTCCACCCTCACCACAAAAACCACCACTATCACCACAACAATAACCTAAAGTAATCATATCCTCCACAACACACACA